TTTGCTCAGCATACAGATTGAATAAATATGGTGAAAGGATACAACCCTGACGCACTCCCTTCTTGATTTTAAACCATGCAGTGTCCCCTTGTTCTGTTTGAATGACAGCCTCCTGGTCTATGTACAGGTTCCTCATGAGTACACTCAAGTGTTCTGGAATTCCCATTCTTCTCAATGTTATCTATAATTTCTTATTATTATGATACACACAATCAAATGCTTTTGCATAGTCCATAAAACACAAGTAAACATCTTTGTGGTATTCTTTGCTTTCACCTAAGATCCATCTGACATCAGCAATGATATCCCTCATCCCACGTTTCACATTAAAGATCTTAAAAATTTTCATAAATTAACCTATCAAATTTTAGTTACAGCAAATAAGAATTTTGACTATATCAAATAAACTCCCTGTCAGTAAACCTTTTAAATTCTTGTCTCAGTCATAGCCAAGAGCAGTAAAAGAGTTTGAGAGACCGAAAAACTGTACTGGAGGCATGCTCAGAGACATGAAAGAGTTTTATTCTGAAGAACAGGGGAAAGGGCTTATGAGAAAAGCAGTGTCACATCCAGCGTTGGTCAGCTGGTCAGGTTCAAAGTCTGCTAAACCCTTTCCCCTTTCCAGAGATACGTATACCTCTGTTTGAGGAACTAACATATAGGTGTTATGAATCTGATCTGTGGTCCATGGCACTTGGGGATAGGGCCAAGGTCTGGTGTTATGTGCCCACAATAAAATTAACTAAGGCATGTGGCCTGCAAGGGGAAAGGGAGGGGGCGGGGATGATTTTGCCTTATGTGGTATTTGGCGAAACAGGATGGGGTTTGGGAGCTGTTTGTGGGAGCGTGCAGCTGTGCTCCTATACTCCACCACAGCAGCCCTATTTGGCTCTTCCAGTCTGTGTGCCCACCTCTTCTGCTTGATCCCTCAAGCTTGGGCACTGGAGTATTGGAGCCAAAAGCCAGAAATGCAATATAAACCACAGCATCCAAACATTACCAATAGGAAAATTCCTAAAATATCTTATAACAAATGTCTCCAAGTGTTAGGAAATGAACTTAGCCAGGCAGAAAAGGAGTCATTATTTAATTGCTGGATAGCAGAATATGAGTTTGCATATGCTGTAAAGCCTGATTAATGGGATGGTTATAATCTGAAATATAAATGCATCAGTGTAAATCAAAGCACAAGTGCCACTATGAGTGGCGGTGAGGCTATCTAAAGCCATTCTATTCTGTGAAACAATCTTTCTCATTTGTGTAGTTCCAGCAGATATTAGGGAGCTCTGGTAGCATAGTGCCTAAGACACTTGACTGCTAACCAGAAGGCTGGTGGTTCAAACCCACCAGCCACTCCTCAGAAGGAAGATGGGGCAATCTACTTCCATAGTGATACTGCCTCGGAAACCCAAGGAGGGGTCGCTATGAGTCGGGTCCGACTAGACGGCACATAACAACAACAACAGCAGATATTAGGTACTGGCATGGGAGGTTTCATTTAGAGCAGCAGCAGTGTGTTGAGCTAAAGTTTCAACTTGCCCCAGGCATTAATATGTCTAGGGAGCAAAACCACTGTTTAGTTCATTTAGATCATTTATGATGATGATAGAATGTGTCCCAATTGGAAGGGTGAGCTGGCAGGGTATTATAAACAATGCTGGTAATATAGAGATGCCTCCAGGTACATCTACCTGTCCAATTATAAGGTAAATAAAGCCAGCCACTATTTCCACATCCCCAAAGCCATCCCCATGGTGATGGGAAGGTCCCAACTCTATTGGTGTTATTTTGTTTACTCAGCCACATGGTATTATTTATTAAGATGGTCTGATTACAAAAGTGTTGAGGCAGCCACCCTAAGTTTTTACTATTATTAACAGTCTGCCTTTCAACACACCAGGTAGCAACCATATTTACTTGTTTAGCCTCAGTTCTAAGCCATCCTAACCCATCCCAAATGGCATAACTTAAAGGGCGAGAACATTAACCTGTTCCCTAATTAAAGCAAAAACCTTGTTCCTAGTGTAACTCCAAGAGGAGAAGGGTATGGTGCACAGTGAAGAGAAGGGGAAAGAGGAAAGGTCTATTGTTGATTCATTTCATCACATGTTAAGGCAGTCCCACAGAGTGTCATTGGCAGGAAACAGCTCCAAGGCAGTCCAGTATTAGATGATACTGGCATCTTTCCACATACCCAGCAGTTGGACTGGTTCCAGACTTCTGCCACAAACCCCAGCCAAAGCCCTCAGGGTAGCTAGCCACATCCAAATCACAAGGTGCTTCAGCCTCAGTGGCCCCTAAGAACTTATCTTATTGTACTGCTACTTTAACTGCCTGGAATGCATGTTCTTGCTTGCTGCCCCAGTTCCAAATGGTTCCTTTTTTAACCAATTTGTATGTTGTTGTTGTTGTTGTTGTTTGCCGTCGAGTCGGCCCCGACTCATAGCCACCCCACCTTGGGTTTCCGAGGCAGTATCACTACGGAAGTAGGATTGCCCAACCTTCCTTCCGAGGAGTGGCTGGTGGGTATAAAATCTGGGATAAATGGGAAATAAAGAGCCTCCAATATCCTAATAACCCAAAAAAGATTTGCAAGGCTTTTACATTGGTAGAAAGAGGATAAGCTGTCATTTTGTCAATGGCCGCAGGCACCACCTTAGTTTCATCTGACCATATAACACCCAAGAACTTAACAAACAATCCAGACCCTTGTAGTTTGGAGAAATTTATGGCCCATCCTCAGCTTTCCAGGTGATTGATGATTCTAGGTAGAGGGTCTTGCAGCAAAGACAAATTAACACAAGGTGACATAACAACCTCAATGTAATAGAATAAAGAAACTTTGTCAGGTTTGGCCCATTTCTGTAAGTCCCATGTCACCAGCCCAAGGCAGAGAGTAGGGGAATGCAAATACCCTTGGGGGAGGGTAGTGAAAGTCCAGTGTTCTCCTTTCCATTCAAGAGCAAATTGATCTTGGCTTTCAGGGCTGTGGGGATGCTGAAGAACGCATTAGCAAATCTAGAACAAAATGGTAGGTACCTAAATGTTCGCCAATAACATTCAGCAGCTGCAATATATTAGAGATGACAGAAGGAGAGAAAGGGTAACCTTGTTTAATTCCTGGTAGTCAATCATCAAACACCAACTACCATCTGATCCTGGCCAGACAGGACAATTGAAAGAACTGTGTGTGTGTCTGATGATGCCAGCTTTGGCCAGCCCAGCTATGGTGGTTGTAATTTCCTCCTATCCTCCAGGCAGCCAGTGTTGCTTGTTGCTTGTTTACAATCAGTATTGTTGTTTACTATCACAGAGGGGGCAGGCAAGGTGATGGGGCTCCATTTGCCCAGCCTCAGACTATAGATTTTATCATCCTTACCCTGAGGCAAAATTCCCCTGTGGAATTTCATCAGAGTGAGCCTTTTCAAGATATCTATTCCTGGAATGTTTTCTGGAAAAGACAAAATGAAAACCTAGTACTATTTAGGGAGAAGGTACCCTATGGCTAGAGCCCAGGTAACATTATGCACATGCAATGAAGCCACCATAGCCATCTATGGCACCTAAGGGGCCTCTAAATTTCTTAATATTTCCATGAATAAGGGTACATTCAGCCCCAGTACCACTACAGCAAGCACAGTTTGGATGTTTTGGGGGGACTAGTATATGGTGATTTCTATGTGGGGTCTCTGATTCCCCCATTAGTTGTCTGAACTTCATAAGAGGAGGATCTTGACCCTCTCCCCAGTGAAGGGGAAAAGGGACTCCCCATGCCAGTGGCACAGACAGCTCAGCACTCTCCCTGGGACTTCCTTTATCTAAACCAAAAATAAAAAACAAGATCACTGCCATCAAGTCTGATCCAACTCATAGCAACCCCCTCCTTGAGTTTCTGAGGCAGTATCACTACAGGAAGTAGATTGCCCAATCTTTCTTCCTAGGAGAGGTTGGTGGGTTTGAACCGCCAGCCTCTGGTTAGCAGTCAAATACTTTAGGCACTACCCCACCAGAGCTCCTTTATCTGGTTTGCTAAATTACTGTTCTGGTTTTAAACATTACCATAACCACAAGAGGGCAGCATTGGGCTGTTTATCTATTTTCTCTTTGGGTGTGCTCTGGGCTAAGAGATCATCCCACAGCTGGCCAGGAGTAACCTTTAACAGGTCCTTTTGTTTTCTGCAGTCATTAGTGGATTGGCCCATGGCTCCTACCAGGTTTTTCCACATGTTTTTCTGTATGAATGAGATCAGCAGCAGCTTGGGCAGTATGGGACACTGGCTACCCCACCATTGGGTTTAGGATGGGGACTAGGAAACCATACCACGGGTAGGGGGCTGACTGCAATATAGCATCTTTCATTCCTGTAGTAAAAGTTTCATTATCTGGGCCCTGAAAGTTAGTTATGTAGATGACATGTTTCATCCCTAATCCCCTAGTGACACTCTGCTGTTCCTCCATTGAGGACCACCGCAAGGGGCTACTGGGTAAGTCTCTCTCATTGGGCCAGGTGGTACAAGTGTTTGTAATCCATCAAGTGAGAGATAATGCCTGGTTTGAAGGCTGCCTGAAAGCACTGACTTAGAGCAGGTGAGTAGATATATGCCATTTTGGATGCTTCTGTCCCTGAAAGCATCACCTTGTCAGCACAAGTGTCCCACAATCTCAATAACCAGGCCTTGATGGATTCTCAGCCTTTCTGACAATAACGAATGGCCAGCTTCACTATCTCAGTAATTGTGTAAGCCCACATGATGGTGTATTCTCTTACATTCCCTGGGGGAATTGTGCAGGGATCAACACTAGGGGTATGAAGATGGTCAGTTTTAAATTTGGTGATCATTAGTGGGTGCACCTCTAGATAGCCAGAGACTTCTATTTCTTCATTCTATCCTTCGACTTCTTCACCAACAGAATCTGAGGTTTCTGGGGGGGTCCCTTTTTTGGATACCACAGCTCAGATCTGTTGGCATGGAAGACAGCACCCTTTTACCTTACATAATCTATATGCCAGGAGTTCTGGTGGCATAGTGCCTAAGGCATTGGCGGTTCAAACCCACCAGCCACTCCTTGGAAGGAAGGTTGGGCAATCTACTTCCGTAGTGATATCGCCTCGAAAACCCAAGGAGGGATCTCTATGAGTTAGGTCTAACTCAAAGGCACATAACAACAACATAGCACAAAATTTTCAGTGGCAAAAATGAACACACTCATTCCCAGACTTGTGTGTATATGCATACGTTGTTGTTGTTGTTATGTGCCGTCGAATCGGACCCGACTCATAGCGACCTCTCCTTGGGTTTCTGAGGCAGTATCATTACGGAAGTAGATTGCCCCATCTTCCTTCCAAGGAGTGGCTGGTGGGTTTGAACCGCCAGCCTTCTGGTTAGCAGTCACGTGCCTTAGGCACTACGCTACCAGAGCTCCCTTATATGCATATGTTGTTGTTGTTGATATGTGCCGTCGAGTCAGCCCCGACTCATAGCAACCCCTCCTTGGGTTTCTGAGGCAGTATCACTACGGAAGTAGGATTGCCCAACCTTCCATATATGTATATGTAAATGTATTCTCTGTGTCATAAAAATTAAGCTTATAACTTCAATCATAATGAATATCTATTAATTCAATTTGATGTCAGTAAGTTACCTAAAAATCTTGGAAATAAATTTAACCCTATACAACACATAATTATTGTGAAAGTAAAGTTTGTTTAAATAGTCTATATTTTTATATTTTTCAATTCAATCTTAGATTTATCCATAGCTATTTTTTGTTTGTTTGTTTTTGTTTTCCTGTTATTCATCTAATTTTCAGTAACCATATTAAGACAACATTTTTCTTATTTTAGACTTCATTAAGCTCTGGTAGCATAGTGGCTAAGGCACTTGACTGCTCACCAGAAGGCTGGTGGGTTGGGCAATCCTACTTCCATAGTGATACTGCCTCGGAAACCCGGCAAACAACAACAATGTCTGCATTATTTTCTCCTCTTTTTTGTCTTAAAAATGTTTGCATGTAGTTAGGAGGGGTCTTTTCAAAACCCTTTCTGGAGCAGTGTGGGTCTCAGAGGCTCATGATCAAGAAAGAATTGGTTCATCTTAACTAATTTACGTATGTTTAAGTTGGTTTCGGTATTTTGAAAGACAGAGTAAATTAAATTATTTCCTTTACATTTTTATTTTTGGTGAGCAGTTTAGTCTTTTCTCATGTTCCAATTTATTTTGTTTGAGCTAATTGTTGATGTTTTAAGTCTTCCTAAAGTTAGGAAGGTTGGGCAATCCTACTTCCGTAGTGATACTACCTCGGAAACCCAAGGAGGGGTCGCTATGAGTCGGGGCCGACTCCACGGCACATAACAACAACAACAACAACAAAGTTAATTCAGTTGTTTCAACAAATGAATGCCATGCTGGAGGCACTCACTCGTCCTAAGAAATTTGGAAGACAGCTACCTGGCCAACTGACTGGAAGAGACCCATGTTTGTACCCATTCCAAAGAAAGGTAATCCAACAGAATGTGGAAATTATCAAACAATATAATTAATATCACATGCAAGTAAAATTTTGCTGAAGATAATTTTAAAATGTTGCAGTAGTATATTGACAGACTAAAAAATAATAAAAAAAAAAAAACTCACTGCCATCAAATCGATTCTGACTCATAGCAACCCCCTTTGGGTTTCCAAGGCAGTGAATCTTTACAGAAGTAGATTGCCCAGTCTTCCTTCCATGCAGTGGCTGGTGGGTTTTAACCTCACAGTGAACTTCCAGAAATGCAAGCTGGAATCAGAGGAGGACGTAAAATGAGGGATATCATTACTGCTGTCAGATGGATCTTGGCTGAAAGCAAAGAATACCAGAAAGATGTTTACTTGTGTTTTATTGACTATGCAAAAGCATTCAATTGTGTAAATAATAGCAAATTATGGATAACATTGAGAAGAATGGGAATTCCAGAACACTTAATTGTGCTTACGAGGAACATTTACATAGACTAGGAAGCTGTCATTCAAACAGAACAGGGGGATACTGCATGGTTTAAAATCAGGAAGGGAGTGCATGAGGGTTGTATCTTTCCACCATATTTATTCAATCTGTATGCTGAGCAAATATTCCTAGAAGATGGACTATTAGAAGAAGCGCATGGCATCAGGATTGGAAGAAGAACCACTAACAGCAACCTGTGATATGCAGATGACATAACCTTGCTTGCTTAGAGTGAAGACTACTTGAAGCACTTACTGATGAAGATTAAAGACTACAGTGGGCAGCATGGACTACACCTCAACATAAAGAAAACAAAAATCCTCACAACTGGACCAATAAGCAACATCACAATAAGTGGAGAAAAGATTGAAGTTGTCAAAGATTTTATATTACTCGGTTCCACAATCAACACCAATGGAAACAGCAGTCAAGAAATCAGACAACATCTTGCAATGGACAAATCTGCTGCAAAAGACCTCTTTAAAGTGCTGAAGAGCAAAGATGTCTCTTTGAAGACTAAAGTGTGCCTGACCCAGGCCATAGTATTTTCAATAGCCTTATATGCATGTCAAAGCTGGACAATGAATAAGGAAGAACAAAGAAGAGTTGATGCTTTTGAATTGTGGTGTTGTTGAAGAATACTCAAAGTACCATGGGCTACCAGAAGAACCAACAGATCTGTCCTGGAAGTGCAGCCAGAATGCTTCTTGATAGCAAGAATGGCTAGACTTCATCTGACATATTTTTTTGTTATATCAGAAGGCACCATTCCCTGGAGAAGGATATCATGCTTGGTAAAGTGGAGGGTCAATGAAAAAGAGGAAGGCCCTCAATGAGATGGATTGACATAGTGGCTACAATGATGGGCTCAGGTACAGCAAGGACTGTGAGGCTGGCACAGGACCAAGCAGTGCTTCATTCTGTTGTACATAAGGTTGTTATGAGTCAAGCCGACTCGATGGCACCTAACCACAACAACAAAGTTCATTCATAACATTTAGAGTGATTAATAAACAAATTTAGGAAATCTCTCTCCATACTCATTATAAAGGCAAGAGTAATCTGAGAAGCAGTTTGTTTAGTTGCCTTGACTGCCAGGTTGCTTCCCTTAATTTCCTCAGACTTAATTTATTTCTCAAAGTCAAAAGATTTGGTAAAGTTGAGAGAGACCTCAGTCATTTGTGGAGCCACACCTCCACCTTTTCTAGTGCAAGCAGCACAGGCTGCTTGGTAACATGGAGGCAGTTCTTCTCATTTTTGTTTTCCTAGTTCTTATTATGGGAGCTCTGGTAGCATAGTGGCTAAGGCACTTGACTGCTAACCAGAAGGCTGGCGGTTCAAACCCACCAGCCACTCCTCGGAAGGAAGGTTGGGCAATCCTACTTCCGTAGTGATACTGCCTCGGAAGCCCAAGGAGGGGTCACTATGAAGCCCAAGGAGGGGTCACTATGAGTCGGGGCCGACTTGACGGCAAATAACAACAACAAAGTTCTTATTATTGCAGCTGCAACCGTGTTGCTACTAAATTATCTTGGCAGGGACAGCTAACAGCACATTCTACAGGAGGGAGTCTCTATAAGACCCCAGATAGGTTTTTGCCTTCTTGAGAGAAAGAATTGCTCACAGAGACAGAGTGGTTTATAGAGAGCAAGCCTTTAATGAAACACTGCATTGAACTGTACAGTGAGACAGCAAACTAGGTGTATAGCATACTAATTGGATTGCCAATGCTTTCCAGCTGGCTTACAGCAATTATAGGAGACGGAATGCAGAAGCTTTACAGTTGGAGAATCAGATGCACAGGTTTCATATTTTCCTTATTTAGATTCTAGTTTCATTTTGCTCCTGTCTTCTAGATTGGTTCAGGCATCTGCTTGTCTGCAGATCAAGATGGCTGCTTGTTCTGGTTACCTAGTGCTGCTCTGACAAGAAAAATACCACAAATGAGATGGCCTTAACAAACAGGAGTTTATTCTCTCACAGTTTAGAGGCTTTAAGTCCAAGGTCAAAGTGCCAGGCTCTAGGGGCTGGGTGAAAGCTCCTCAACCTTGGGGTTCATTTCTGCCTCCTGCTCCCGGCCCACTGGAGCTAGAGGCATTTCTTCACTCAGCTGCTAGCTGCTGAGACTAATAAGCCCAAGGTTGACAAATAAAAAGGCACAGTCCCAATGTTACCAAACCACATGGCAGGCCATTAACTCAAGTCCATTGTAAGTCCCAAATTTGGCAGAGCATGGCCGGCT